ACCAACGATCGAATCTCGGGCAAGTAACATATCGATGATAAAGGGAACAACGTATGTTGTTATACGGTCTGACCGATAAAGATCTTCGTAGAATATGTAGGAGCCAATATGGGCATCCAGGTCCCGCTATTAGTTATTGACCGGAGATGTGTCTCAGTCATGTCTGCATTATTCTCGAACCATAGGGTCCGCACGCTTAACGTTACGATGACAGTTATTATGAGTTTATGCATTTTGATGTACCGAAGTTAGTTCAGAGTCCTGGATGTGATCACGGACATGACGAGAAGTCTCGAAATGGTCGAGACATAAAGATTGATATATTGGAAGCCTATGTTTGGATATCGAAAGTGTTCCGGGTGAAATCGGTATTTTACCGGAGTACCGGGAGGTTACCGGAACCCCCCGGGAGCTGTATGGGCCTTAATGGGCTTTAGTGGAAAGGAGAAGGGGCAGCCCAAGATGGGCCGCGCGCCTCCCCCCTCCCCTAGTCCTATTAGGACAAGGAGAGGTGGCCGGCCCCCCTCTCTCTCTTTCCCCCTCAGCGAATCCTACTCCAACTAGGATTGGGGGAGGAATCCTACTCCCAGAGGGAGTAGGACTCCCTTGGCGCGCCCTCCTTGGCCGGCCGGCCCCCTCCCCTTGGCTCCTTTATATACGGAGGCAGGGGACACCCCTAGACACACAAGTTGATCATTGAGATCGTTCCTTAGCCGTGTGCGGTGCCCCCTGCCACCATATTCCACCTCGATTATATTGTAGCAGTGCTTAGGCGAAGCCCTGCGACGGTAGAACATCAAGATCGTCACCACGCCGTCGTGCTGACGGAACTCCTCGACGCTTTGCTGGATCAGAGCCCGGGGATCGTCATCGAGCTGTACATGTGCTAAGAACTCGGAGGTGCCGGAGTAATGGTGCTTGGATCGGTCGGATCGGGAAGACGTACGACTACTTCCTCTACGTTGCGTCAAACGCTTTCGCAGTCGGTCTGCGTGGGTACGTAGACAACACTCTCCCCTCTCGTTGCTATGCATCACCATGATCTTGCGTGTGCGTAGTTAAATTTTTGAAATTACTGCGCTCCCCAACATTTGCATGGGTGCCGTGGGGGTTTATATAGGCCTACCCCCCAGGGGTACAATAGTAATCTAGCCGGGTATAGGACCCGGCTGTTAGTGTCTCTGGTCGCCGGCTTCTCCGCCGGCTGCTGGGGCCCGCCGCCTGGTGAGCCCCGCCGACCGGTCTGGTACGGAGCCGACAGACCGCTCCCGCCGCTTGCGGGTCTTGCTGGCTGCTGGTTACTGTAGCCGTGATGCTAATGACGTGTACTTGGTCAGGGAAGCGTGGCTACAGTCTCGCCGACTGGTGGAAGATCACTGTAGCCACTCCCTGTCTCATCTGGTTAATGGCGCACAGGCCCCGAGGGAGGAGGGGGCCGCCTGCTAGAAGCCGGCCTTCCTTGGGTCCGACTGGTCAAGCCTCCGCCGTCCTCCGGGCTCTCGCTGCCCGGTAGGGCCCGCCGCCTGTAGGCCGTACCGACAGGTCGCCGTGGGAACAGGGCTCCGTCTGCCAGCAGTGACGTCAGGGGTGGGATGGCAACAGTGTCGCGCCGGGCAGAAATCACTGCCTGTACGGAGCACTGTGGCCACGCTCGGCCCTGGATACGGGAGTGATGGGCTACATTGTAGCCTCACCCTGTCTTGTCTTCTTAATGGGGGGGGAGGGGCATACTCTGAGGGCGCCGTGGGCCGCCTGCTAGAAGCCGGCCTCTCTGGAGGCCGCCTGCAAGGAGCCGGTCCGTCTTGGTGCCGCCTTCTGGAGCTTAGCTGCCTTCTGGCAGCCGGCCGCTTGGGCCAGCCGGCCATCAGAAGGCGGTGCTTCATCTTGACGTCCTGAGGGGCGCAGCCGGCCCCGATGCCTTGAAAGGTTCAGGGACTCGGGTTAGGCTACCTGTGGCCCCTTACTCCGACACTTCATGAACAATTTATGATGTGGATTTGAGGAACTATGTAATAATTTCCTGAACTATGCAACAATTTGTAGTTTGTTTGAAATCCATTTCATATGTATTTGCTATTATCTGTGTGCAATATGTATATGCAAATTTGGGTTCGGCTATAGCCCGGCTGCCGTGCGGCTGACCTATTTTAGGGTTGCTGTTGGAGACGACCACTTCTTGCGCCAGAAGAAACACCTTCTCGTGTCTAAATTTTTTCTCCGCCAACTTTTCGTGCCCTAAAATAGGACAGTTGTTGAAGATGCTCTTTTTTATATCAAAAGACTATATTAATCAAATAGTAGGAAGATCGTTTACAAGGGAAGATGAAAAAAAGTCAGGTATAGCATCCCAAACACAAGAGGTACTAGAGCTAAAAGCATATTTTGCTATAGTATTCACAACCTCATTGGCCTCTCTATAACAATGTAAGAAATTAACTTGGCCAAATTCCTTCATCGGTTGTTTACTCTCCATCATCATTGGAACAGAAGGTCCTGCATAATCGTTCTCACCTTTCATAGCATCAACAACAAAAGAGTTATCAGATTTGAATATCAGCTTGCTACAGCCAATGCTCGCCGCCAAATAGAAGTCATTTCTGATCGCACTCATTTCCGCTGAGTGTACATTAGGAACGTGAGGCATGAGCCATGAGGCAACCACAATAAAATTGCCATTCTTATCTCGGGCCACTGCACCAGAAGCGCCTGACAATGTTTCGGCGACGAATGAAACATCAACATTTATTTTAACGAATCCTTTGGACGGCTTCTTCCACATCTGATCCAGTTTACGCTTTTGAGACTTTGAGTTAGCAGCTCGCATAAAATTTGTCAACAAGACTGCCATCTCCATCAAAGTTCTGTTCAAGATGCTCTTAGCAACATTGTTGTACTATGCTGAGGGTTGGTAAACTATGAACAGACTGCTGCGGTATCAAGATCGTTTGTCAATGGACACTTCATACTTTTGTTCGGCCCTGCTCTTCCACCCCTTGTGCGGGAGATCTACAAACTAGAATACAGATATAATGTTTATATTTAAAATATAAGATAAAACAAAGGGGCAAATCCAACTATTATCGGCAATGATTCTCTACAAACTAATTGTCAATGTTGAGTGGCCAACATGTTTAGCACGCAATTAATATCATAACTCGAATGAACATTGGTGATAAACTCAACATGTAATTAGTATCTTACCAAATACCAACACGCATTGCTCATATACAGTTTAATTTTTTTTTTTGCTCATATACAGTCACTAGTACGTTAGTAAAAAAAAGTCGAAGATAGTGCTCGGTTTGCTGGCCATGTGATGCCTTCGTAGTTGATAAATCTTCAACAACCCAACACCATTGGTGTTTCACTCTCTCACGAGCAGTACTATACGGACGATAGCTTTCATTCCAATTGTTGTACGACGGATCAAATCATCCACTAGATCGCATCATTTTGCAAATCAGCACCCTTCAAGCAGGCACCGTACAGAATTCGTACGTGCACTGTCGTGTGCAGAGTAGTTTCACTCACACAACCAAGTACAGCTGTGCAGGTCTGAAAATACTCCCTGCAAAGTTAATTTTGCAATCACTGTAACGATTGCGTGTAGGGCTGGAAAAAAAGCTCGAAGCTCGTGAGCTAAACGAGTAACTCGTGACTTGGCTCGAATCGACTCGAACTCGAAGAATAACGAGTCGAGTCAAGCTTTAGTTTAAGATCGTTTATAGATCAAGTTAAACGAGCCAATCTCATGAGTACTCGTGTAACTCGTTAGGCTCGTTACAAGAGATCAACTAAGCACCCTGCGTCCTAGGCACATAACACAAGGCCCAGCTGCGTTATGAATATGAAAAAAATGATTGCTTGTGAATGTAAAATGTACATATTAGACATGTACAATGTTCACAAACAATGTTTATTTTTATCTTATTCGTAAGGTTTTATGTTTGTATCCTTAACGAGCTTAACAAGCTAAACGAGCCAGCTCGCGAGTTATACGAGTCGAGCCAATCATGGATTTGAACTCATTATAGCAACGAGTCGAGTCAAGCTAGCTCGTTAATGAAATAAGCTTTAGCGAGTCGAGCCAAGCTGGCTCGACTCGGCTTGAATTCCATCCCTATTTGCTTGGTTATACATACAGAGGCAGACCAAAAAAGTTAGGCCTCTTTTGGTTCATAGGATAGGATTATCGTAGAAATAGGAATTTTGTAGGAAATGAGATGACATGTATCTCAAATCCTATGAGTAGGAATAGGAAACGAAATGTCATTTGGTTGACATCAAAGGAATTTTTTCATTGAGTGTAGGCTCATTTTTATTTTCCTATAAAATATGAAGGATAGGAACCAATCCTATGTAGGAATAGGAATCCATTCCTATGAACCAAAGGGCTCTAAAGAAAAAAATTCTATAAGAATTCTATCATCTAGAATTCCTATAAAATTCCTCCAAACCAAAGGAGGCCTAAACAGATTAAAGTAGAAACGGCAACATCTCTTAAACCCTAAGACTTGTTTCACACAGAAGCTAACAGAGCCCAAGCTATTGTTGCATAGAGAAGATTTGTGTCAGTGGAGGGCAAAAGAACCTCCGCTTACAAGTAGGCCGCATAGCATTTCAGGAAGCACATAGGCTATTCCAGTATGCCAAGGCATGTCTGAAGAACAGGAGTTTCGCAAGAATTCGTTCCCCACGGGCCACAGGAACACAAAAAGTTCCAAATGTTTCAAACGTCTACAAGATACAATAACACATACAACAAAATGCACACCAATTTCCCCCAGGATGACGCAACTCAAGTCACACAGTGAAATTATTATCACATTGCAGAGCAGCTGATAGTGATCCAGAGATAGCAGCTGAATTTACCTAATGGACCCTAGTGACCTTAAGAACTCTCTGGGAACAAAATACTACATATCTATCTAATGCAACCACAGAAACAGCAATGCTGATATCTTCTGTGGAGAGACGTGAATGCTGTTAACCGCCACTACTCATTTTCTTCGACGACGGCGATGACTATTACGCCGATCAGAATCTGAATACTCAGAAGCACTTAGATCAGAGCAGCGTGATTTCCCCCTCGGTTTCCTTGAATGCCTATCACTTTCACGTGTGCTCAAGTCAGTATAGTGTCGCTTCTCATTCGATCTCCGTGAAGGCCGATCAGAATCTGAATACTCAGAAGCACTTGGATCAGAGTAGCGCGATTTTTCTCTTGGTTTCCTTGAATGTCTATCGCTTTCACGTGCGCTTGAATCAGTATAGTGCCACTTCTCATCCGATTTCCGTGAAGACCTATTGCTCACGGGAAAATCTGGTATTTTGTGATGTCTCTTTTCCCTTGATCTCCTTGAATGCCGCTTGCTTTCGGAAGAACTCGAGTCACTGTGGGATTGCTTGTCCTGCCATCGTGTTGGATGCTGCTGCTCGCTCTCAGAAGAACTTGAGTCACTGTAGGGTTGCTTCTCCCTCGATCGCCTCGAAGGCCTCTTGCTTATTGTATATCCTTTATCTCTGGAGGAGGAAACTGGGGCAATTTCCATCTCCTCTTTCTTCTTTTTCTTCCTGTGCTCCCACTTTGGATGCCTTCTTGTGTCAACTTCAACTTCTGATTCAGAAGAGGACTCTAGCAGGTGTTTCTTCCTGTGCCTGTGCTTTGACTTCTGCTTGGCTTTTCCTTTCCCAGCTTCCGCCTCAGAATCAGAATACGAGGATGGGTCAGAACAATATTTTTTCTTTCTCTTGCTTCCTGACGCCCTGTTGCTCTTCTCAGGTTCCGAATCTGAGGATGAATGATGACTGCTATGATGTCTTCCAGATTCTACATGAGCAGCAGGCTCAGACTGCCTGCGCCTGCTTTTACTCTTGGAGCGTTTCTTTGATTTACTCGTGGAGAAGTTGGTAAGGAGAGCCGGAATGTCAATATCGCCGAGGAATCCTAAAATATAAAATGTAATGCAAGACAACATACTTGTGTAAATTTAGCTAACATAAAAAATTCTTGATATGAGAGTGACAATGTAGTTTTATCCATGCTTCAGAAGTTATACCTCCATATTCATCAAATATCTCTTCTGCTACAATCTGCTGATTAGGATCATCAGGGTTATATCCACCTCGAGGAGGGCTCATGCCAGGCTTTTGCTTAAGCTCCCACTTCAAAGGCTGACAGAGAATTCCTCACATTAAAACTGAATTTTTAAACAAAGTACAACGAGAGAAGAAAGATGTGTAAGCCTTTTGTCGTTTATTCGAAGGACGTATATGTGCACTCAGATCACAATCTGGCGATAGTTATATATTACCAAAGGGTAACAAACCTAGGCTAGCACATAAATTACAAGAAGGCTACAGCAAAACATGAATTTTCAGTAGACTATTACAACAACAACAACAAAGCCTTTAGTCCCAGACAAGTTGGGGTAGGCTAGAGGTGAAACCCATAAGATCTCGCGACCAACTCATGGCTCTGGCAAATGGATAGCAAGCTTCCACGCCCCCCTGTCCATAGCTATTCAGTAGACCATTACCAGAGACAAAATCCTATGCAGTTATGGACCAAGGGGAAAGGTCGGATCAGGTATAAAACCAGTAGATATAGCTCACTATTTGCAAGTCACTGTCATAGAGTCGTTATTTTGATGTAAACTGCAAATGAAGTACACTTCCAATAGAAAATCTAACCTCACTCGAATCAGTCTGTGCCTTTATTGCTGTAAGTGGATCGTCCCTTTTCAATCGGCTCTCCTCATTCGGCATGATAATATCCTTCATGGGACATTCCCGGTCACCACTCTGATGGCCGAAGTTTCCACATCTTAAACATCTAACATTACGAACTTCGACTCCAAATGGTTTAGGTCTAGCAGGAGCACCTGTGTCCAATCTGCGAATAAGGGCAAAACATGTATCAAATCTTTATAGGTGACCAGGCAGTAACCTTAGGAGAGCATACAAAAATGAAGCGAAACAGAGAACACGTATAGGAATGACAAAGGGGAAAAAACTAATATAAAATAAATCTCTTGTCTATTGGCAGTTTATGAGAGTACGAATGGAATGAATTCAGCGTTTCATGTCACCTTGTTGATCGTATTCAAAATATCATCATAAAACAAAGAGACAATTACCTTGGAGCATTTTTCAGAACTTCAAATTCTTGCTCTGTTGGCAATGAACGGCCAAACACATCTTTCGGCCTACTCTTTTTCTTCTCTGGGCCATCAGGCCTGCAGCAAACATAAAATACAATGAACTAAGAATAACAGCAAACCTACCAGATCAGAGCAGTAACATAAGTAAGTTCCAAATATGTCTTGGAACAAAGGCATCTGTGTCAGAACAAGAATTTTAAATACTACTCCCTCCGTCCGAAAAAACTTGTCCCAAGGTTGTTCCTCAAATGAATGTATCTAGCACTAACTTGATGCTAGATACATCCATTTGAGGGACAAGCTTTTTCGGACGGAGGGAATATATTTTAACTTGGGAAAGAAATAAGATTAGTGACATTACATTGAAGAGGTATTTGCAGCTACAGCATCTTCGGTGGCATCGCCTTGATCCAGCTTCTTCTTCTCATCTTGAATTTCAGCAGCCTTTGCACTCTCTGGATTGTATCCAGGTGGGCGGACATACATGAAACTCACAGCTTTCATTATCTCCATCTGAAGTTGTAAAGCAAATTGAAGATTGATGAGACCGGTTTTCCATGGGTGATAACAGTTGAATGTGATGTTGAAATATTGGCTGTTTATTACAGAGTATAAACACCTAAAGATTCCATACAACTCTTGGAAGCAACCAGAGTTGGCAGCTACCAGAGTACGTACTGGTTAGATTGAGTGTCCTTAGTCTAAGTGCAGAGAGCGTGACAAACAAGTGTATTTCCTCATTTCTTGTTTAACCTATAGTTTGTATACTAGGCAATATATTTAACAACCCAAGTTCAGACAGGACAAGATCAGGGCTGCACAGTCGCTGGTTTACTATCTGGCATGGTGCAATGAATCTGAAGGAAGCAGCTGATATTGGCCCATGGGTGGTGAGAAGAATTCGATTATTCACGCCGTTGTGAAAAGCTAGCTGGAATTTTTACAATTTCAAGTATACATTGCTAATATGTTTAGCCGTAAAATTTGGGAGTTCTTGGCTGAGTGTCATGACAATCAAATAACAGAAAATGATGATACTCTGTGGCCTACTGCGATGAAATTAAGAAAAGGACAGGCTAATTACAAAGGTTCGTCTTTTAGTTAATGTGAAGCGGATATCAAAATTAATGTTAGGCAAAATTCCTCGTTCCTTCAGTACCACTCCAACTTCAGTCATTCATGGGAATTGGGAAAATGACAAAAATAAAGCAACGCCATAGAGAAAGCGAGTGGGAGATGATCCACCATTGTTAGTGGAACAAAATGTGTAAGAACAATAGTTTGTCAATATTCTCTTTGCAGTAAATCCCTAGCTTAGGGTATTAACCGGTAACAAATACCAGCATCACAGCACAATTAACCACAGGAAAGCCTAAAAGCAAATGACCAAAACAATGTAACTGTTCATTCCCTCTACCCTACGGTGATCACAATAGTTCAAGCTACTCCGTGACCAGTTGACGCACGTTGCATGGATATAATTGTGGCGAGAATTGTCACGAACAAGTGTATGTCCTCATTTCTTGTTTAACCTATAGTTTATATACTTGTCAATATATTTGACAACCCAACTTTAGATAGGACAAGAGTAGGGCTGCACAGTCACTCGTTTACTCTTTGGCATGGTGAAATGAATCTGAAGGACATAGTTGATATTGGGTCATGGATGACAAGAAAAGTCAATGATTCACGCTGTTTTGAACATCGCTAATGTGTTTAGCCATAAAATCGGGGAGCTCTAGGAGGAGAATCATGGCTATCAAAATAACAGAAAATGAGGAGACTGCAGCCTACTGCAGATGAAGTTAAGGGGCTGGCCAATAACAAAGGTTCATCATTGTGACGAATGTGAAGCGGATATCAAAATTAATGTTAGGAAAAAATCCATCATTGCTTGAGTAACACTGAAACTTCAGCCATTCATGGGAATTAGGAAGATAATGACTAAAATAAAGCAATGTCTTTGGAAAAGCTTGTAGGGGATGATGCACCGTGTTAGCGGAACAAAATGCGTGCAAACAATAGTTTGTCACTATTTTCAGTAGTGTCTCACTTTTTTGACCCAGTAAAGCTCTAGTTTATGCTATTATCCGACAAAATGCAATTAACCACGTGAAATCCTGAAGCCAGATGACCAAAACAATGTAATAATTCATTCCATCCACCCACCCTATGGCGATCACAACAGTTCAAGCTATAGTGCCCATGAGCTGATAATAGAAGTCTATCTAAAAGATAAAAGAGGAGGACGGCGTATGTATGTATGTTGGTGTGTGTGTACCTTCTCCTTGTCCTTCTTGGAGAAGAGGGCGGTCTGGCGGAAGAACTCCTGCTCCTGCGCGAACTCGCGCTGCACCTCCTCGTCGCGGCGCGCGCGGTTGGTGTGGATCTGCTCGGCGATCCACTTGCGGCGCTGGTTCGGGTACGAGAGCGGGTGCCATGGCTTCTGGTTCAGGAACGAGTGGCTCCACGCCGTCCCCGACTTCTCCTTCAGCTCCACCTCCCCCGCCGGGATCTTCCGCCCGAGCCCCCCGCCGCCGCCGCTCCCCTCCACCCCCTCCTCCATCGCCGCCCCCTCCCCACAATTCGCTTCCCCTCGCAACTCCCAGAGGGATTCCCCGTCACCCGGCCGCCGAGACGGTGGGTTTCCTGGGCTTCTTTTGCCGCCCGTCTGTCCAGCCCGGCCCACAAAACCGCCTCCTTTTTGTTCGAGAGTCCAAACCTAGATCCGCACCAAATAAATAGCAATAGTGTGTACCGCACCGACCAGCGCCGCCGCTCCCGAGACAGACGCGAGAATGGCGATCTCTTCCCCCGCGCGACTCCACCTACCGTCCTCCTGCCGCCGGTCGGCGGCTCTCACCAACCTCCAATCCGTTGACAGGTCTACGGCGGCATGCCGGTGGCGGGGGCGCCTTCTCCCCGTGGCCGCTGCTCCGCTCCGCCTCCGCGCCGTGCATGCCGCGGCCGCTGCGCGGCAGCCGTTCGACAACGGGTCCGGCGTCATTGAAGCGGAGGGGGAGGAGGACGACGACGACGAGCATCCGCGCCTGAAGATCGCCATCGTGGGGTTCGGCAACTTCGGGCAGTTCCTGGCGCGGACGCTGGTGCGGCAGGGGCACACGGTGCTGGCGCACTCCCGCTCCGACCACTCGGCCGCCGCGGCGGACCTCGGCGCGTCCTTCTACGCCGACCCGCACGACCTCTGCGAGTGCCAGCCCGACGTGGTCCTCCTGGCCACCTCCATCCTCTCCACCGAGGCCGTGCTCCGCTCGCTCCCCGTCCACCGCTTCCGCCGCAGCACGCTCTTCGCCGACGTGCTCTCCGTCAAGGAGTTCCCCAGGAAGCAGCTCCTGAGCCGCCTCCCCGAGGACTTCGACATCATCTGCACGCACCCCATGTTCGGCCCGGAGTCGGCGCGCGACGGCTGGGCCGGCCTCCCGTTCGTGTTCGACAGGGTCCGCGTCGGCGACTCCCCGGCCCGCCGCGCGCGCGCCGAGGCGTTCCTCAACATCTTCGAGCGCGAGGGGTGCCGCATGGTGGAGATGCCCTGCGCGGAGCACGACGCGCACGCCGCCGAGACGCAGCTGGTGGCGCACACCGTGGGGCGGATGCTGGCCACGCTCGGGCTCCGCCCCACGCCCATCGACACCAAGGGCTACGAGACGCTGCTCCGGCTCGTGGACAACACCTGCAGCGACAGCTTCGACCTCTACAACGGCCTCTTCATGTACAACAAGAACTCGACGGAGCTGCTCCACCGGCTCGAGGCGGCGCTGGACACCGTCAAGAGGAGGCTCTTCCACAACCTCCATGACGTGCTCCGGAAGCAGCTCTTCGAGGGCTCGCCGCCGCTCAACAGGGACGGCCCGCCGACCCCGGACTCCTCGTCCACCGCCGGCGCCGAGTCGTTGTCTAATGACCGGCCGTGATCTGGACGCCGACGAGTCGTCGTCGTTGTAGGGATAATAATGAATCGCGCTTTATGTCGCTGACATCGATCTGCCGTGGACTCGTGGTCCCTTCCATCCAAAGGCATGACGAATTCACGACGAATCGTGTCGAGCAGCTCAGGATGTAAGTGGCGTTGGGTCCCAGTAGTCCCACATATGCCACACACCAAAAAAAGATCAAATGGCGTTGGTGGATGTCCATAAAAAAATAAATGGCACAAATGGATAGCCCAGAAAAGCCCATGAGGCCAGCGGCGGACCACAACACTCCACGCGCACCCAGCCATCACGTTTTCCTCAGCAAAAAAACAAAGAAGAAAACGCCGCGTTCGACATGCCCTAGGCGCCGTCGCCGCTGCCTCCACCGGCACGCCTCCCCAGTCCATCCCTTCCTTCCATCTCACCGCTGTCACCGCCATGTTTCTCGAAGAGGCCGCCGTCGGGAAGCGCCGGGGACCGAGCCGGGTCTTGAGGGGGTACTATCTCTGCAATCCTGACGATACTGTCTTCAGCTCCGGCGGTGGTGACGTCTGCTTTGACGGCGGGCGCAGCTTGGGACGGCGGATGAGACCTTCGGCAGCGACTTCATTGTACATCTTCTCTGCTCCCCCTCACGCTCATCTGCCTCGCCCCCTCTGCTGCGACGCAGCCTATGGGAGATGGGACCGGTGGATGTCGGAGTAGTAGGCGGTGAGGATCGATGCAGATTCAGGCTGCAGCAACTTGATAACTGAATGATATATATGGAGCAAGGTTCAGACTTCAGACACCTCATCACATGCCATCCCTTCTAGGCTTCTAGGTAGATGAAAGGTTCAGACTTCAGACACCTCATTGATGCAGATTCGTCGCTCTCCATTACATCTTGGTAGCCAGAATCATCCTTTGGGTTCAGCTTTGATAATCTAAGTTGTAGATAAATGTTGAATCTAGAGATTTTTTAGAGTAGGCAATTTCCTGTACTATGTTTGCTCTATACTGAATGATTGGAGGGGGTACTAATTATGCCTGTACTAATGGCACTGTATTGCACTAGTACTGTATATCAGTGGCAGTTTGCTTTGTAAATATGTGGTACTATGTGGACACCACGTACGTCACAAGAAAATTAATTGGACTATGACATAGTCCCATATAAGAAGTGGTGGTCAGCACGGGCAAGTCCCACAATGTCCAGTGAGCTGTCCATTTACATCCTGACGAGCAGCCGAGTAGGGGCATGAGTAGGTACTAGTGGGTGAACTTGGGCTAAAAGGGCAATGAACTTTTAAACGTTTGTATGATACTTTTATATTGTCAGCATTATGTAATGAGCTTATATCCTCTCTTTTTTAGAACCGCCATCAAGGCCTTTTTATTCATTTTGGCGGAACACTTCTGACTGCAAAATAATCAGAAAAGGGTCCTGATAACGCCCACACATGTGGTATACTAGACATCCGTTAACACATCGTGTGTGACAAGAGCAGGAGGCAGCTCACACGGGTTGTGTGTGAGCCAACATTAGAATTGCCCACATGTGTGAGCTCAGCTACTTTGTGTCACACGCCCAACAAGTACTACTCATCCTCATCCAGCGCGTGTGGCATGAAGCAAAAATGTCCACGCGCTCTGGGCTTCTGGCGCAGCTACTTTAGGTACCCGCGGGATGACGATTTATTTGCCATCCAGGATGGTAGATGTAATTATCCGGGATGGCAAATGTAGGTGTAAAAGTATGGCAACTCTCTCTGTTTTGTAACTATAGTTGTCATGTCTAACTTATGATAGTTGTCGCGTGTAATCAAACCATAGTTGCCGTGTGTGATTAAGTATTTGCTGCATATGGTCAAACAATAGTTGCCATGTGTGTTTACCTAGTTGTCACGTGTGGCTCAACCATAGTTGTCATGTATGATTAATCACAGTCGTCATATGTGTTTATCTGGTTGCCACGACGCGCAATTGCAGTTGCCGTCTAGCAACAAATCATAGTTGCCATATGTGTTTACCTAATTACCACCTACGTGCAACTGCAGTTGCCATCTAATAACATATGAGTGTCGTGTGGGCGAAAAACAGTTTTACCCACACGCGCGTGGACTAGGTAGTGGCTGTATGGGCAGAAATTAGTTCGCCCACACAGGGCGGCTGACGAACCGTGTGCTACGGGGCGTGTGCGCGAACCCTTCAACGCCCACACACGATGATGCCCACATATCACATTTATGGGCGTTATCATTTGGGTCAGAAAACGAGGGGGACATAAAAAAATTACAAGAAAAGAGTCTATCAGAAGGGCATGTCTCACACATGCATTAGCGGTCTCATTGGCATTCCGCCCAGCCCAACGTAAATCAAACCCCTGGAAATTTGGGAGATATGTACGCATCTCCCTGATGATATGATCTCCAAGCGTGCGATCATCGCTTCTACTCCACGCAAGTGCAGCTTCCTGACAGTCCGTTTCAATCACAACTTGGTTATAGCCCTGTTCACTTGCTCTTTTTTTTGAAAAACAAATGGACTTTATTCAACAGAAATAACAGATATATCGTTTATAAGGAATGGTACAATCTCAAACATAAGCTCCTCAAACCAATCAATGGTAGAAGAAAATCTAGCCAACCTAGCAAGCTCGTGCGCAACCTTATTGGCTTCCCTATTACAATGTTCAAACCTAGAGGTAGAAAAATCACACGCCAAAAAATAGCAATCATCAAAGATTGCCGCCGCCGCTCCTGCTGACCGTCCGCCATTATTCATCGTTTCAATAACCTCTAAATTATCAGAATTAATAACTAGGCGATTGCAACCCGCACGTTGCTGAAAGTGCGTTATATCGACTAGAGGGGGGGTGAATAGGCGATTTTTATGAAAGTCTTCAAAACGTGGAAGTTATGAAGACAAACGATAAAAATAAACCTATTACCCTGCAGCGGAAGATAGACTACACTAGGCAAGCCATAGTCAAGTATTCAATGGAGTGAAAGCACAATGACTAATAACAGCAATGTAGTAAGGATCAGGTAGGAAGATATTATGAAGCCAAACAGAAAACGCAGTCACTCAGTGAAGATAAAAGATAGTGCAATCATATAATGACTTCACAAGGAGTAACAGTAAGTAAAGGGAAGGGAAGATGAAACCAGTGACTCGTTGAAGACAATGATTTGTTGGACCAGTTCCAGTTGCTGTGACAACTGTACGTCTGGTTAGGGCGGATAGGTATTTAAACCTTAGGACACACAGTCCCGGACACCCAGTCCTGAACACGCAGCTCAGGACACCCAGTCATCACCGTATTCCCCTTGAGCTAAGGTCACACAGACCTCGCCCAATCACTCTGGTAAGTCTTCAAGGTAGACTCCCAAACCTTCACAGACTTCGTTCACCGGCAATCCACAATGTCTCTTGGATGCTCAGAACGCGACGCCTAACCGGCTGGAGGATGCACAGTCCTCAAGTGTAATAAGTCTTTAGATCACACAGACAAGAAGACTTAAGTGATGCCTAATTCTCTTTGGCTCTGGGTGGTTAGGGCTTTATCCTCGCAAGGAATTCTCTCTTAAAGGCTTCGAGGTGGGTTGCTCTCAAACGACAAAAGCCGTACTCTGAATCTGAGCAGCCAACCATTTATGGTTGTAGGGGGTGGGCTATTTATAGCCACTTGGCAACCCGACCTGATTTGTCCGAAATGACCCTTGGTCACTAAGGAACTGACACGTGTTCCAACGGTCAGATTTCAAACTCACACGGCAACTTTACTTGGGCTACAAGCAAAGCTGACTTGTCCGACTCTGGAAAGATTCGCTCTCAAAGTCTTCACTCGAAGACATATGTTTTGTCTAAGCATCACTTCAGTCATTTTGACTGGTTCTCTTGGACCCCACTTAACAGTACGGTGGTTCTTATGACTCAATAAAGGGGAAGAAAAAGAACTACGAAAGATCTAAGTCTTCGAGCTCCATAGGCTTCATGCGATGTCTTCTCTTGTCATAGTCTTCAATGTGAATATCTTCATATACCACCTTTGACTTCAATGTCTTCGTACATTTTTAGGGGTCATCTCTGGTAGGAAAACCGAATCAATGAGGGACTTCTACCTGTGTTATCCTGCAATTCTCACAAACACATTAGTCCCTCAACTAGGTTTGTCGTCAATACTCCAAAACCAACTAGGGGTGGCACTAGATGCACTTACAATCTCCCCCTTTTTGGTGATTGATGACAAACTAGTTGAAGTTTTCAATGGGGAATATAGTCTGTGAAATTGTAAAGGATAAGGAATTGTCTTCATAAGTTGCAAGGGCTCCCCCTGAAGATGTGCATATAAATAATTTGCTTTTGGAATGCAAATGCACATGGCAGGTTGTACTTGTGGAGATCCACTTCAACTTATGCTGACAATCCACTATGCATGAGAAAGTATGTGAAGATAATGACATGCATAATGGAAAATGGACGTCTGCAGAATGATCTAAGTGCGGAATTTATCGTCGCACATGCGGAATTTATCATCGCAACACAAGGTGGCAAATAAGTAGCAGACGACCATCGAGTTTAAGTGTTACAACTCAAAAAACCAAATGTAGCAAAATGAGAGTTGTAAGCACGAAGCAAAATATAAAGCGCCCGCCCATATGGACCCGCTTGAAGACTATCAAACTCATATGCTTCTCCCCCTTTTGTTAGTAAGGACCAAAAAGGTTTGAAGACATATCTACTCGTTCCCATGAAGAGTAGGTGAAGCAGCAGGGTCGTTGGTGGTGTTTGGCAGTGCAGAAGAGCTTGGAGCAGAGTCGAAGCATGCTGAAGGAGGTGGCGGTGAAGTAGCATCGTCTTCATCCTCGATCACTCTGGCATTCACAGTTGCAGCAGAGGAAGAGAACTCAGAGTCTTCAAGGGATGGAGTTCGTCACAGCACTGCCCTTCAAGGAGGTGTGGAGTCAAACTTGAATCGCTCAGAGAAGCCATCCTCTTGAAGATCATCTTCAGAACACATCAACGTCAGCCCTTTCCATGTGCGGCGAGAGGTTTCATGGGCAACAAAAGCATTCTTGGTGGCAAGATTGCGAATGCGATTAACATCCACCAAGAGGCTTTGCATTTGACGCTTCAGCCAGTCATGATGCCTATCCTGTTTCTGATGAAGAGCCACAAGAAGCTCTCAGTTGTTGAGAACACGAGTGCGCTTCTTGGGTCGTGGAGCAGTTGTACTATCAGTGGCTTCAGTGAGAGAAGGATGCGGTGCACGTGTAGTGCCAGCCAAAGGATACACACGAGTTACGGCTTCAACGCCTTCAACGTTCTGAGAAAAAATTTGATGCTCTGCATTCTGAAGACTTAGAGGTTCCTTGGCAGGCTCAGGATAGATGGCTTCAATAGACATATCCACATCAGGCAAAAAGATCCGATGATTGCGGGTAGAGGGCTGATA